CCATATACTCCAGCTTGGGCGGCATTTTCCCTCTCTTGAACAAGTATGTGCTGCTAGTCTCAAGCAAGCTTGGCAATCGTCATGGAGGGAATGTTGCAATATACGTCATGGCCTTCACTCAAAAGCTTATTGATCACGAATGAACTTCTCTGAAGTCAGTCATGGAGATAAAGGGCTAAGCAGACGTTGCGGTTGCTGGGGAAAGCTTCCTCTTGCCCAAGCACTCTGGCAACCCCAAAAAGTTCACAAACTACCACATTATTACAGGCTGCGCTAACAACATCTTTGCTGGGTCTGACCCTACTGGTGTCAGTTTATCGTCTGTTCTTTATAACTTGCTCAAACCTAGGATAGTATCGCGAAGCTATGAAAGGAGATTGAGGACTTCACAAACAGTGTTAAGCTTTCGGAAACACCTACATTTAAGGAAAGACAACAAATGCCTAACCTCCAAGCCGTCATCAAAGAGGCTCTGCGTGTTCATCCGGCCGTAGGATTGCTAACGGAACGGGTTGTGCCTGAAGGCGGAGCTAGTATTGCTGGAAGATTCTTTCCTGGGGGGTGAGATTCAGGTTTGCCTGCTTAACTCTACTTCTGATAGCTAAAGCTATTTGCTCTCTTTGCAGTCTGTCGTTGGCATCAATGCCTGGGTCCAGCACAGGAACCAAACATTGTTCGAAGATGATGCTGACTACTTTCGCCCCGATCGATGGTTAATCAATGACGACAACAAGATTTCCGTCATGAACCGAAATTGGATACCCGTACGTCAAGCCAGTCTTTCGCTGTACCTATGTTTTTAGTCTACTTACTTACTCGACGTCCTCCAAGTTTGACGTGGGGTCACGAACCTGTTTAGGTAAAAATACATCCATTCTGGAAAATCGAAGCTCATCCCTAGAATTTTTCGCGACTTTGACTTCAGGCTTTGCGGCCCTGCTGGAGCACCAGGCGGATCGTGAAAAGCTCGTACCTTTTGGTTTTTGAAGCCCCAGAATCTTCATGTCACAGTTGAACCCAGAAAAAAGGGCTAGGAAAGGGCTCCGAATGACTTGGATCTGATCTTTCGCGATTTTCGCTACATCTTGTTACGAGCACTGCTGCAATGTTGGCCGCTGATCAAATTCTTCTCTTCTCTTCAAAAGGTCAGTAAAACTGTTTACAGCGAGTATGTAGTATTTATGGGTATGCTTTGTGAACCAGACCCTTCTGGGAACGCATATAGTCGCACCGAATAGCTGTAGCTGAAGCCTTACTATGCAGAAATGTCTTATATTCTTTCAAGTGAAACCCTCATTACCGTGTGTGTAATGTTTTTGCGTGGAGTTCAGTTATCTAGTTTCTTCAAAGACAGATATATGTAAGCCTACAAGCAATAATTCTCCCTTTTCTTTGCTCCCGCCTGAAAACGACGTGGGAAGTCCCTATAGATCGGGCATCATTTTTCAGCTTGGCAGCTGCTTAGTTAAAATAAAGGTTTACCCAAACTGTAGCGTTCGTGAATTCAATGTCGTTGATAAAATCTCAGTAAAGAGCCATAAATATCGCATTTCAAACACACTTGAGCCAGGCTCCTATTATCAGTTTGGACAGCCAGCTTCCAAGTATTGGAGCTGACTTTCGGGGTTATTGTAGCTTTCTCTGCCTGGTCTCTCGTAATATAGAAGTTTAAAACAATAGATAATATTAATGAAATCAACGAGTGATCAATTGCTCTTCTTAAAGTCATCAACTGCTGCGGCTCTGAGACAAGACTGTCAATTGTATGCAGACCGCTGAGTAGCAAGATCTTTCAATCAGACAAGTGATGGGCAGGCGTTGACTAAAGACTAGGTACGCACATCTTGCCCCCTCCTCCCGGGGTCTCCGGACGTGGTTCCATTTTTAGGTTCGGCGAATGACGGGTTCGTCGGCGCAACCACGTCGAGAGATCCGAGCTGGCAACACCGGTGGATATCGCATTGTCTAGACCGCCCCAAGGATTTTGAATCCTGATAAAAACTAGCGTAGTTTCAATGAATAAGGAGGTGTGTGATTGGACACGCCCAGCGCTAGTAAAATTTCACACCTTCAGAATGTACATTCAAACGGCCAACTATACCAGTCTGAACTCTGCGGCTTGGAAGGCTAACTTCCGCCAACCTTGAAGCCCACTACGGGGCTAATCTGTTGTCTTAGACGCCGAATTCCCGTCGTCCGCCCCAAATCGGGAACAGGGGTTCGGTCAGGTTGGGATCGAGGATTTCTTTCGCCTCAACGATGATGATGATGATGATGATGACATTTGGAGTGATACAGGCTGCATGCCTTATAGTCGCGTGGCGAAGTGCATTGATTCACTTTTCCAGCGTGCCAGGCCACGAGGTCAAGTGGCACTAGCACGCCAACTCGTTTCTTTTTGTGTAAGCCACGACTCTGGATCGACTCAGTGTCTTCAAACTCTGCACATGATTGGCTATCGCAATATCGGAAAGTTGCTTGCTTTCCGTACACGCGTGGCCATTAAACTGAGACATTTTACCAAGCCGTGGCAGGCTTGATGAATCAGAGACATTGGGGCCAGTCAGATGAGGAGAGACAATTTGGAGGTTTGTCTGATTCGTCGATCTCGCTGATTATTAACGCTTTGGCGCCCAATGGGGTAGCCGGATCGCAGCCTCCCTTCTCTCCCTGCGTTCCGCTCAACAAGTGTCAACATTCTCGCGTCTCCCTCCTCTCGGGTTTTCCTTTTTTGAGATGACAGGCGTACGGAAAAGCCGGTGAGGGCTTCGGCCTTGGTGTTTATAAAAGAACCACTTGAATCTGTTAATGACAGATACAGTTGATAGACTTCGCGCACTGACTCCATTACCGAGTCTCGTGTGGGAACGAACTTCCTTCTGACAACAAGTTTTCGTCCATGTTTACGGGCTCCTATATCCTCCTTGTCAGGTAACACGCATGATCATATTGTTCTCTCCCGCATAGCCGGGATATCTGAATCAATCAAAGTGCTAACAAAGTCAGACGAGCCAGGATTCGCTTCCCGGGACGAAGTCCAGCAAATTAAATTGCATAATCTGAACTTGTTTGCTTCTGGTGTACACCGCTGTGTAACATTGCCTTTGTCCGCTTTGGCATTCTCAGCTGGTTCCAGGCTGTTCTACACTGAGACGCTTGAGGCGTGTTCCGGGGCTCGGACGTTCGAAGCCCTTCCGCAGTCCCATCTACCAACGCGTGCAGAGGTGCCCGATCCAACCTGCCACTGGAAAAGTTACTTGGGGAACATTTTTGCGCAGCATCCCGTTGCGATTTGCGTTTCAAGTGAGGAGCTTAGCTTGAGGCATTGCCACCTGGTGGAAAGGCCTTTGTGTTCCCGTCGTCTGCGTCTCTCTACCCTCCACGAAAACTTGAGACATCTTACTCCTTCGTGCGACATCGCTTTTTGGCAGTTCTTCAAGGTCTTATTAGGGAGGCAAGCCTCCTGTTGTATTCCTCGGAATTTCTTGAGCTTTAGGCTTCATTCATCATTATGGTCCTTGTAAACGCTCAAGACCCCACGCCCGGGGCTGCGTCCTCGGGTCGTACCGTACTGCCGGATTATGTTACCACTCCAAATGCAGTTTTTGGCGACGAAGGAGTCCAATGGAGATATGGAAGGGCGCCAGACTACACAAAGACGCGCAAGGTTTGGAGGGAGGGTAAGTCATTTCGGGGGCTAGACTATGATCTGCGTTGTTCTGGTGTACTGACGACTGATTAGGCAAAAAAAATGAGCCATAAGGCTGGTAGTCTTGAAGAGATCGTGGAAAACCTCGTAAAAAATTGGGAAGTAGAGCTTCATTCAAGACAAAGCTCGATGACTGGCGGACTGTCGACCATGCCAAGTACACATTCTCCGTCAACGGCGGGCCGCCACAGACGGTGAGCACATGCTCAAGGTGGGCACTTATAATGCTGTCATTACACCCAACGAGTACTACAGCCCTGATTACTCCGACTTCGCGTCAAGCCACAAGACTTTCAAAAGAATGATGCCACCTTCGCTTGGGAGGTACTTGAAGTCTACAGCGGCCCACCCTGTGTGGCTTTTAGGTGGCGTCATTGGGGAGTTATGAAGAACGACTACGTCGGATTCAATGAGTAAGTCTTAACTACGATAAAAAAAAGTCCGCCCTTGTAATGTTTGTCAATACTGGAAACTGATATTGGCGTTCCTCTCTGCAGCAAAGGAGACAAGGTCACGGCTAAGGCTCATGCGGGCCCATTGATATTGAGGTGTGACAATCGCAAGGGTAGATGATCAACTTCGTTTGCAGGCTGTAGACACGTGGTTCGATTCACTGCAGATGTTCCGCCAGATTGCCCCGGATGGAGTAGTCAGTAAGGAGGCCAAAGTTGACAACCGCGGGCCGGAAGCCAGATTCGACGAGGCAGTGGCGTACGACGTCAAGCTATCACCCGAGGAAATAAGTAAACTGCATAGCAACGTCGCAAATGGTCAAAGGTCGGGAGGATGCCCCGTAATGATGAACAAGGAGTAGACTTGCAGCTTCCTTGAGAGAGAAACACAGCTGGCTATGTAACATTCACTTGTCTATCTGATCAACGTTATAATGGAATAATTACCAGCAATAATCAAGACAAAGCAGGTATTGGGCATAGATTGCATTAAAACGCAACTGATTTGCGTTTGTAAGATTTCCAGATGGTGGAGGGGAAGACACTCGAACTTTGGCTGGTGCTGTTGTGTTTCTGCGGGTTATCATGGAGTCTTTGCAACTAAAGTACCTTAGTGTTCTGCTACTCAACATGCGAGTCATATTTGAAGAGTTTAGCGGCGTTGACTGATGCTATCGTGGCCGCTGAAATCAGGGAGGCTACAGTCCCAAGCATCAAGAGGCGAATGATTTTCCAATGAAGCTTTGTATTCATTACAGGTATTGACTAACACTCTTCTCACTCTCTATTCTATACTTCCAACCTATCTCGCCACTTGCTGGGCTATTTTCCGTGCGACTGCTATGATAGTGATTTGCCAGGGATGGCACGTGCAGTCTGTTGCAGGTTTTCGTTATCGGATCTATTGTGCCAAGACGGTCGGCGCCTTAGCTCCCCTAATTACCTGTCTACCGCCGACAAACCATCATCCAGTGTCGGCGTATCTTCCGAATCGTGTGCGATGCGGCTTATCACGGAAGATTCGGACACTCGAGTGATGCCCGATAGACCAAGAAGGCCTCTGAACAGCGATCTGTTGCGGCGGGCAGCGGCATGTTGAATAACAATCCATCTTGGGAGTTTTTAACTCATTAATTTCCCAGTCTTTTCGATGAACATCAGTGGCGCATACTGTGTAGCGCTGAAGTATATTGTGCGTGCCAAGACTTTTGCGATTCAAGACTGGCGATGAGATCGACATCAATAAACCACTCAAATTTTAAGGTGGTTGTCTAAACTCGATTGCAACATTAAGAGCCTGATCGATGACTGCGTTATAAGTGCAGTAACAGCATACCATAGTAAAAAAATACCTCAGGTTGAAATTAAGTAGAGTTTCCTGTATTATTAAGGCTTAAATTAGGTAATATATTGCTATTATCCTATGGAGGTTATTATTTTCACTACTTTCCCCTTTCTCTAGGCTAAATAAGCTTTATTTCCCTTTACTTCTATCTATATTATTATTTCTTATTAAATTACTATAAATAATTACTATAATTACTTATACTTCTATAATAAATAACTAGTAAAGCAAAAAAGGGCTTTTTATTAATATAAAAGGCTTTATTATTATTCAACTAATTACCTTAGCCTCTATTACTAATAAATAAAAGAACCTATTATATTAGTTAAAAAAAAAGCTAATAAAAAAGTAATAACTTAATAAAAAGGTTACTTAAGATATTATTAAAGTTTATAATAAAAATAATAATAAAGAATATAATAAAGTTAATAATAAATCTTTAAGTAATATATTACCTTTTCCTAAAGATTTATCTAGTTAATAAATACTAATATACTCTTATATTATTTAGACTTTAAAGCTTACTTATTACTTTATAAAGAAGCTTTTTAATTTATATTATAATAAAAACTGTTGGAATAACAGCACCAGCTGGTTGTACGACACGCACGACTCAGGGACACACATCATGGCAGAGGGCACAGACTGGATATTCGGCCCTCGGTTATCCATTGAGGGGATCAAAAGTATATTCATGCCGAACTGACTCAGGGACGTACGAGATCATATATCTTGTGTACGAAAGCCAAGTCTTGTAGTTAGGAAGATAATCACGGAAAATACATCTTTGGTTCACCCTAACTTTAACCCGAGTACGATCGTACAAACGGGTTCTCTCAGGAAGAGAGAATCCATTCAACACTGATCAGTGGTTGCTTGGCAATCCGTGCGATTGCTTTGTGCAATCACAGATTAGCAAGAGTGAAGAGACAAGACTTAGGCTTTACGGCCGGGCTACCGGGTAGTCTTGCACTTCGTGCGAGGCGAGAAATCCTCAGGGATACCTAAGGGGTCACGCTAGAAAGTCTCTTGTGCTAAGAAGCCTTAATCCTACCTATTGTCGCCTGCTAAGCTGAACCGGGTAGATAGGATAAAGACGACTTTTGCTTTACTATCGTACAAGACAGATTCCCGTTGTCGCCTGCTAAGCTGAACCGGACGAGAATCTTTATTGTACTGTACGTAGAGTACAAAGTGTGCGCCACGGCACCAAACAAACCAATTTTGACGTCGTACGATACGAAACGACTACCGAACACAACATGGCTTCCCAAGAGGATCCAGAAGACAATCGTCAAAGCCAATATGACAACATTGATGGATACCTGCCAACGTACGAAGAAATAAGTGCAAGGAGCGAAGTCCCACTGCACACGTGGAAGAAGACTGTGAATCCTAGACGCTGGGGAAATCCAGTCGATATTACACAGGCACCGTCCGAAGAAGAGATGACTACGTACATTGCGTACATCAACATGGAAATGCTTCATCTTAGGCAATCAAAGGAAAACCTGACAATATCACTGTACGAAGATTTCAACGAATGGTCTACCTTCCAATGGGAAAAGGTCTATCGTGCGTTCAGGGCAGAGTTCATACGACTTATTGAGCTAAAGGGATTCCGATTACCGCCAATAAGAAATGTGAATCAACAGTTGGTTGAATTCATCAAGGAGATTGGGAGGAAGTTTGATGAGCAAGAAGAACAGCTTTCTACTCGTACAGCACTTACACCAAGTCGTACGATTACAACAACTCAAACACCTGTTCGAAACCCTGAATCAACTTTACCCCAAAACACAGCTGAACCAACAACAGAGCCAATCGAACCCCCGTACGATACACAGACAACTCAAACATCAATCGTACGAGAGCAGTCACAATCAGCTTCAGGAAACATACCTCCTGGAACAAGATTCACACAGGAGGTTGAGAGTTTTCCACAAATCCAGGGTCGTACAACACCTTTACATCAAGGAGACAGCATCTATGACCTACCACCAAGACGAATAGTCCAGAATGGATTGTGCGAGCCAACTACAATTTCAATCTTCCAAAAGGGATGGAGAAAGGACAGGAATTATACGGGCAAGCCGTACGATATCCTGTACGACAAGGCAAAGGTCTTTATCAGTTTTTGTCGACGCCTCAGGATCACTGAAGACCAATACCATGCAGTATTTCCTGATATCTTGGCTGATCGTGCGGAAGAGTTTTATCTCCATCACATTGGACCAACAAGGAGATGGGACGAGATGTACAACATGTTAGAAATGCATTTTAACACTAACATCAACCACACTCTCTATTGGACAGATTGGACAAGTCTATCCTTCGCACGAGTCAGACAAGACAATCCAGACAAGAATCTGATGGACGTATTAGAGATACTCTTAGACAAGATACCCCTCGTACAACGGGCACTTGGCCCAGGTTTTCAGGGGGAGATTATGCTTCGTACGCAAGTCACCCAAGCGTGCAGAGGTGTACCAGAGCTAGAAACTGCTCTAAGCAATCTTAAAGCACATCACACGTGCGAGCAATTCTTTTCTAGTCTAAGAGCATCACTACAAGTCGCTTTAGACAGGAAGTCTATGTCGCACGACATCAACTTCGTGGATAGAAGGTACTCTAACAACAAGAGTTACCCACGACCATCGTACAATAGACCGTCAGACAACAGAGGATCTTCTCGACAACCTTGGAAAGGTCAACCTTCATCACGACCTAGGTTTAATCGTGCAATATCTAAGAAAAGATGTTTTGTGTGCAAGAAGGAGGGTTGTTGGTCTACGAATCATTCGGACGAAGAACGTAATCGCGCGAAAGACCAATACCTTCAGGCATGCGGTATACTTGAACAAGAACCACAGAGAGATTTTGCCTCGTACCTTCTTGACTTTGAAGGAGAAAACCCAGTGGACGAATCGTGCGATGAGGAGGGAGAATTTACAGGAGATGAAGAGACATCAGCTTTCCTAATGTCTTCTTCATTCTTCCATCGCACGACAGGGGAGGATATCTTTTCATTACCAAAGACGTCAGAGGCCTGTCAATTCTTGTTGCACGATCCTTATATCTCATCGTACCAAGGGGAACTATGGGATACAGGAGCAGCGAAGTTCTCTACTGTAGGGAAACCTCAAGTCCTTGCATACCTACGGGAGAACCCTCGTACGGCAATATCCTGGGGACCAGGATCAGCAAACGTACGATTCGGGGCAAGTGACTCAATCACATCGGTTGGCACTATGGAAATGGAGAATCAGCTTGGAAAGGTTACGTATCACATCCTTGATGCTCCTACTCCGTTCCTGTTTTCATTGTACGATGCAGACAGGTTAGGTGCATATTTCAATAACGTCGACAACGTGATTGTACGGCAGGATGGAAAACCTATCCCAGTCGTACGGAAATGGGGTCACCCATTCTTCAACCTTAGTCGCACAGAGGCCAGCATGTTCTTCACAGAAGGACAACTCCGAAGGCTTCACAGACGATTTGGACATCCTCGTACGGACCGTCTTTACCACCTCCTGAAGAAGGCTGGGCATCACAACATTGACATCAACATTCTAGAAAAGGTCCAGAAGTTTTGTCATCATTGTCAATCGCACGACTCAGCACCAAAGAGGTTTAAGTTCACACTTAAAGACGAAAGCTACTTCAACTATGAGATAGTTGTGGATGTCGTACGACTAAGAGACAAGAACGCCTTACACGTTATCGACACAGAGACAAGCTTCCAAGGAGCCACCTTCCTGAAGTCCTTATCTGCACGAGATACGTGGAATGCACTTTGCAAGTGCTGGATCAGCACGTACGTTGGTCCACCAGACCATATCGTACATGACCCAGGTACAAACTTCGCATCAGCAGAATTCAGGAACTATGCCGACATCATGGGCATATCGTGCGAAGAAATGCCAGTAGAAGCCCACTGGGCAGTAGGCAAGATAGAAAGAGCTCACGCTCCTCTGAGGCGTGCGTACGATATCTTGTATGCTGAGCTTGGGC